CGGAATCGTTTCCGATCGAGCAACTTTCCATGAAATATATCGTAATTTCGAGCAACATCGAGCTCGTATTCGAATTCTATAACGACGTTGAAACAGCGAACCGTTACATGGTAACGAATCGGACGTCACGCACGTTCGACCAGGGCAGCCGAGTGCAGAAACGGCTTAAGAACAGGCTTAGATGGAGAATAGATAGGAGAAACGTTCATGCGGCCGTGAAACGGTGGCGGAAAACGAGCAAACTTTTACGGTCGACGTGTCATCCACGATAATGTATGCCGCGTTCGTCGTCACACTTGACATAAGGAGAGACGTAAGCTCCCCCGCGTGGACCCACGAGGAGGAACGCAGCAGCAGCACCATCACGTTCACGGGATCGTGAACACTGTTGCGAGCAAACCGTGTCTCCCGGACGTCGGTGCTCCTTCCTTCGTTCGAGATAATCGTGGATACAGTACAGTTACGATAATGGCGCGGCTCTAATGGATCTGTCGTGGAGTGAAAACTCCAGTCAGGCTGTTCCTCTTTTTCTCTCTCTTTTTGGAACGTTGGAATCTCTCGGGGGAAGTGGAAACGCGCGAAAACGACAGTGAAGTTGTTCTTTTCCAGGTATCGGGATCAATGGAATGGACGGACGGGAAGATGATGGGTATCGCGTTACAGGAAGGCCTCCTTTATCCAGGTTACTCGGATATCTGGCTTTCTGCCAATTTCACGGTTGTTCGATTGTGACGAATTGTTGCACCGACTCAACCTGGAAATCCTTTCTCATTGTTTGTATATATCGGCCACTAACCTTCTTAATCGATGACGATTGTAATTACGAAGTGTGAGTGAGAAACGTTTGTTCAATTTATCTCATTTTATTGGAGCAACGAGATATTAAAAATACACGAAACATACGGACGAACATACTCGATCTCTGATAATTAAATCGATTCGAGTCACGCTCAATTACTCTTGGCCCAAACGAAATTCTTCCGTCCCTTGTTCTTGCCAACCTGGTCCGCGTTATCGTAAACGTCGACCACCTCTCTGATCACGTGTTGGGCGTACGGCTCAACGAAGTCGTTGCCCTGGAATCCCCTGTACGGCGGCCTGTGGTGGAAATTATAATAATGCTCGTAATGCGGTGGAAACGCACCGTGCGCCTCGTAAGAGTGAACCCCTCCTCCTCCCCCGCTTGGGTAGGCGGAGAGCAAGGAATTCCAACCGAGCAGGCCGGTGATGACCAGCGCCACCTTGGTCAACAGCAGTGCCTTCTTCGTGAGCAGTAGCAAAAAGCCGAACAGCAGGGGAATCAGGGAGGCCAGGTTGAACTTAAAACCTAGCAGGAATGGTATCAACAGGTGTCTCATCATTTGCCTTCCTGGAAAGGAGAAAGTTGCGGGGCAGGCTTTAGACGTCCGTCATTTGATTTAACCTTGTTCCATTGGAAATAGGAACATTCGGTCTGAACTGTACAGGTTTATTAATGGAAGATAGACCTAGTTTTATATATATATATATATGTGTGTGTGTGTGTATGCGCGTGTGTTTTAGATGCTCTGATAAATTCTAGAGCTATTATAGAAATGAAACGAGAGGGTATATAGAAGCTATATAGGAAGAGGCGGGTGGCCTTGACCGTGCTGCCTGCTGGAGGTGCTTCCTGAAACCAACTTATGGCGAACGCCGACTCAGCCTAGATACGAACCAAGAAGAACGGCATGGGTTCGCTTCCATGCTGTTCCAAGATCTACGAGACCTACTACGTATCGCCATATCAGGATTATAGCAAATCGATACAACATGTGGTTGTCGATCGAGAAAAATAAAATTCGTATCGAAATTCGTTTTTGAAATTCAACGTTGCACGAATTATAGAAATTGTAGGATTATTATATTCGACAAGAAGGCGATATAAAGGAGAGCTTACCTGGGCCCAAAGCTTGCCTGTCCCCGAAAATCGTCGATTTCTCGTTAACGACGAACTCGAGTATCCCGTTCCCGTTCAACATTGGTCCAGCCCTCAGTTCCAGTCCAGGGTACACGTTATCCAGATTCCACCTTAAGCTTCGTCGTTCCATCAATTTGGTCGCCGCTCTCACCACGTTCCCAAAATCCTTGGGATCGTAATCCCAGTCCAAAAGTTGTCTACCGTGGAGGCCGTCCGCCCTCTCCAAGTGTGCATCCCCAAAATCCAAAACGTGCTTGCGATCGATCGATCGAAGAGCGGTCAGAGCGCCGCGATTCACGCATTCCAAAGCGGCGTGCTCTTTCCCGGCCAGACAGGAACCGAGGGCCTCGCCGAAACCCGCCTGACGGTCCTCCTCCTCGTTCGTCAAAATTCGCTCCTCCTCGGTCGATTCCTCCACGATCGCCGCGATCCCGGTAGATATGTAGATTAGGTAAAGGCACAAGGTTCTCGATCCGTGGTTCATCGCGTGCAACGAAAGAAGGAAAGATCTCGCGGAGAAAGTTTACGCGATGATGAAGTTTTTTCCCTCGAGAACGTTTCTCCTCGGTGTATATTAGATCAATCGCTTCGAGGATCGATCGATTTTGCTTCCTCATCTAATCACGAACGCGTTCTCCTTCATTCTTTCTTCCTTCGAAAAAAAAAAAAAGAAGAAGAAAAGAAAATAACAAAGGAAAGATGGAAAATTTCGCTTAGAAAGAAGAATATGAGAGAGAGAGAGAGAGAGGAAGAAGAATTGTGGTAACTGGGCTCTCTGGAACAATACTGTTGATCCAACGCCCACGATCGGCCCCCTATATAGGCGGCAAAGGACGTTCACACGCAACGGAGCACAATTGGTTTCACTCGGTGAATCTCTGGCGAGCAGCGAAAGTACCGGTTCTTTTCATTCATTTCGTACGAGAGATGGAGGATCCCTCGATACACCGGATGCACTCGAGCAGGCCAATTTCCCGAGAGTTCGAGAAGCGAGGAGTGCCTCGTTAGAACTGTCAAGAATTGTCGGTTTGGGAGAAACTCTGACGCGAACGTGATTTTGGATGAAAGGGAAAAAGAAAAAAACTATTTTGACGATGATTGAATTTAATCGATTCATATGTTTTTCTCGATTCGATATGCGTTTCCCGAAGAATTCGTTCAAATCTTGGGATTATCATCGATGTAAACCGGTATCCAGTCATCGATTCATGAAAGTGATGAAATTGAGAAGGGAAAAGTTGTTGGATCGCGCGCGACATCGTTTCCCTCCTAAGACCAAGTGGAAAGAGATCCTCCTTGAATGCAAATTACTCTTTGCTTTTATTTAACTGTCGTGTCCATTCGGCCTGTTTCAACGTTTATTTGACAAATATACACTTTCGAACGTCGAGTCGATTACGTTCGAGCATATATATATATATGTAAAACTGTTTTCCTTTTTTTTCCAAAGAAAATATCGAGAAATGGAACGAAACGATCGAAAGTAATGGCGAGTAATAAAACTTTATTATTAAAAATTGATTAATCAACAAGAGTTCCAATACTCGCTCTTAACTTTTAAAAAGAAAAAGAAACACATCGATTTAGAAAGGAGAGATAGAGAGAGAGAGAGAGAGAGAGAGAAAGAGACATCTTCGTAATAAAATTAACATTTATTATAAATAGTTCGATATAAGTTACATGGCGATCCGGGCGCGGGATGAGAATATAAATAATCATTGGATGAAATCTGGTAGCCCTGTACAGGTACTGAGTCCGAGCGCGTTCGACCTCCCCCGTTCGAAGGGGACATATAACATCGTATCGGCACTGTGGCTGAATCGTTGAAAAATATGCTACGACCACCACCACCGTTCACCACGTCCATAATCCGAGATTCCGTCATCGAGAGCTGCTCTTTTTCATACTGCTCACGTCACGACGATCGAACGACAATCGTAATCCTTGTGATAAATCGTTCGATTTATCATCCGGTATTGTATTTGCGTAACAACGTGTCCAAGTCTGTGAAAAAAAATGGCAGTCGGCAGTCACGGTACGTCTGTGTGCGTATGCGTTTTCAGTCACTGTAACAATACGAAGTGGACGATACATATACTACGACGAGGATCGATCGTGTCCAGGTGACGGATCGGATGGATACGTCCGATCGCCAACACGAGTTTCAGGCGAGTAGTTTTTTTTTCTTTTTTTTTTTTTAGTTCCTCGAGGGATCGAGATCGCGCAGCGGTCCTCGGGTGATGGCCAGCGGCGAATGAGAACGATCACTTTGGCGAGCGAAGGTAGCGAGTTGAGAATGAAGGAAATCGCTGGGAAAACCACGAGCGACTTAAGCTTATTGGGAGGGTTTGTACGCGTTGTACGCGAGATCGGCGCCGTCCGACGATCTCGCCCATCCGTGGTGGTCCTCCTGCCCGTACGAGTGCACCGGGTGAGCGACCACTTCGTAGCTCTGATGCTTGTTGGCGAACAGCTTCTGGAGGGCGATGATGGCGCTGATGATCAACGCGATCTTGCCGATCGCGAGCGCCTTGAGGGCGAGCAGGGCCAGCCCGCCAACGCGATCGGTATGAGAGCAGCGGCCTTCAGTTTGAGGAGCAACAGGATCGGCAGCAGAGATTTCACGATCTTCTTCTTCTTTCCTCGAGCTGGAATCGGTTTTTCTTTTTTTTTTTTTTTCTTGAATGGGAATAACGATCGCACGAGCGGGAAATAAATAACGAGACGAGCGAATCTTTCGAGGATAAGACGTACGTTACCTTCGTCGAAGGAGCGGGACACTTCCTCGGGCAGGCTCAACTCGACGGTGTGGGTGGAGAGGAACTTGGCGGTCCTGTCGAGGATGGCCTGATCGATGGCGGCCTCTTTGGCCTCCGCCTCGGCGGGCAGGCTACTTTCGATGTCGTTCAGAGACCTGCCGTTGTCCGCCCGGCTAAAAAGTTACACGATCCTCGCGTGAACCTCTCTCTCTCTCCCTCCCCCCCCCTCCCTCCTCCCGTTCATTTTCCCGCCTACTCGTCTCCCTTACCTGCCCTCGGCCTCCTTCGTCTGCACGATCTTGAACCCATCCGCGAGCTCGATGTCCTCGGCCGACCTGGCCACCCTGTCCACGAATCTGAGCGCCTTCAGTTTCAGGCAGACGGAGATGTCCTCCTCCCCCGAGCAGGACGCGTACACGTCGAGAGCTTGTTCGAGCACGGATGACGGTTGATGGACGGCCGAGGAGGCCTGTTGGGCAGCCGGGGCTGCGCTCGCCGCCGCGGCGAGGAGCATGGCGATTACCGACAACTTGATCATCATCTTCCTCTATTGACCTTGATCTTCGCACTTACGATACGCCGAGATACTTTACACGCACGAGAAGTGTTGGGATCACAAGAACGAGGAAAAGTTTTGGACGCGTGTGTTGGAGGTTGTTCACAGACGTTGTTGTGGGCAACAACGCGCGGCACGGTTCGAGAAGAAGAGAAGCACTACTGCGGCGATCGTATCGAAACTGACCGAAAGAATCACGATTGCTGCCTTTTATCCTCGTCGCGAAAGGGGCCCGCGTACGTTTTTGAAATTTTGATGGCCCCCACCGGCTTGGTCCCCGCCTGGGTTACAACCCATACGAGCTATTGGTTCTCCTCCAGGCGGTCGTCGCGTCCCGTGTTTCCCTGTCGCGCGCGTCTCTCCCGTTGACGCGCCTCCGCGCTCGCTCCTTCTCGCTTCTCTCCTCTCTGTTCCTCTGTTTGAACCAGCCCTGACCGCGCACAGGTGAGTGAGTGCTCGTCGGACGATTGGTCACGGACGGGGGGGGGGAGAGAGAGAGAGAGAGAGAGAGAGGAGGAGGAGAAGTA